ACCTTGGGCATCCAGACTTCCGACACTGCACCCCAGACCCAAAGCCCTGAACTAAACCCCTAAACCCAATGCTAGGATCCTCCAAACCAGGGCCTCCACTTCATCCGCCCCCACGGAAAACTCTTGCAAAGCCTGCGAAAGCGCGAAGACACCCCCAACCGTTCAAAAAGCCTGAGAAACCCGTTCTAAACAGCCCCTATATTGCCTACAAAATCACTATGTAATTAAAGGAGGACATGAAAACGCAATCCAGACCCGAAATTTAAATAGCCTAAAACCCTGTTGAAACCCTGATAGAACTCACAGAATCGTTATGGGAACCTTATAGAACCTTAGAAAGATCACCATACTCAGAGTACTGCCACCAGGGTTCCCGCAGCAAGGCGTCTGGATCCCGGTCCTCTTCTGCCCCTGAGGACTTTTTGCGATTGAGGGTCTAGGATTACTGTTTGGGCCATTGCAGCTTGAGGATTGTTAATCATAAGGGGCACGTCACTCGACATGTTACTCCTGTACTTTAAGGGGGTTCTAGGGTTTGGGATTTGGGAGGTTGAACATTGGGGGTTCAGGGTTTTTGGGGCTTAGGATTCAAATCTTCTTATAATGATACTGTACAAGCTGCGGGTTCGCAGTCGAGCTTGCGCAAACTTTTGTTGACAAACAACTGGTAAGGATATAAGTGTGGATGTGCAGCCATTGACTGGGCTCATAAAGCTTTTACAAGTTTACACGTGTGGATTTGTTCAAGACAAAACCAATTGATTTTTATACCCTAAACCCTGTTTCGGGGCGTCGCAACTCGCATTAATATTCAGACAAGTTAAACTGACTCTGCCCAACGAGCCGTAACAGGCCCTCACATGAATACCCAGCCCATCCAATGCTGGGTAATGTAGCAACTCTGGCCTCTGCTCCCTCAGAAGGTAAGTTCAATGACTGTACTGTATCCGAAAACAACTTAAATAACACCAAAATGTAACAGATCAGAAACATTAAAAAAACGTAATCTAGAAACTCTATAGCCGTACAATAGGCACTCGTAGAAACAACGGTTTCTTTGAATCATGGGAGATCACGGGCTTGTCCATCGTAGACATCCTTCGGAGTCGGAGACGAAGTCCACGTGTGCAAGCCTACACAAATCCTCGGAAACGAAACGCCCTGGCGCCTGACTCGAGCGTCGCAGGCTCCGGGGTGTCAGCCTGCACTTGCTGGCACACACATCTCACCACGTCGATGATGCTACTGTGTCTGGCGGTGGTGGCCCTGGCTGTGTCCCTCTAGCTCTGCGCTGACTGGGTTCGGGCTTGCGGATCGCAGAAAGGTGTTAGGGTTCTATGCATATAGGCTTCAGGCAACAAACATAAACAAACCATCCCAAGCCATTACCGGTCAAAGCCATAAGGACGAGTTCAAAACCTGCCGTCACGACTACCGGACTACCTAGATGTGTAACCATGATTCATGATGATGACGGATACCTAGATGAATCTAATGGAATCTAGTATACGTAAGAACCGGTTGCATGTACCGTAAACGCTATTGCTAACCAAACGCTTTAATAGTTATCTTGCTGATAACCCAGCTTGAAAATCGTCCCGATGCTCAGAGTACGGTGGATTCCAAACTACCACAGCCCAGTCCTCCTCTGTGACGGGGTCGACGGGTTCAATGAACCTTGCGGCATACGGGGGCTGCTACGGTGTTTTGTAGTAGATCAGATCGGACCATATAAGTCGACTAGGGGTTCCGGCTCGGCACTCACGAGCAAGTGGCAAGCAAGTCAAGCGACACATGAGCCTTCAGACTGAAGTTCTTGAGATGTGTGGATCTCTTCTTGCTTGGTGTTTAGACATCGGCATGTTTGCACACGGATAGACTGAAGATTCGCACGCAGAATGAAGAAATGGATCGGGACGATATGGGGATCAGGTCGGGAGAAACGGATCAGGAAAGGCACGAAAAGGATCATGATGTGCCTGGTCGGAGCACTGTATCGTCGTGTTCACTGCATGAAGTTCTCCTACTGGCCGTGTGGGATCATGGTGCTGGGTCATTATCTACATGCAGATGACGAATGCAGCGGTCTTGGATGAGTCTTGCTGTATGTCACGCCCTCCTGGGTCTTGGATGAAACCGTATGTCACGCCTTGCTTGGGAAGGCCTAATCTTTAGCAGCCCCGCAGCTTGTCTATCCAGCAACACTGCATCGAGAACGTCTATGATGGGGCCCCTGCTCTGGAGGAAACACCGGAACAGGTGGCGGCGCAGGAGCTGCCTTCTGCAAGGCAGGTGTCTTCGAGAACATAGGGTTCTAGGATAAGTAGTGTTGTTATTATTAGAGGGTGGGACGCCACTGGGGACCCCATATTTGCAGCTTTTTCTCGTGTTTTATAGTGGAAATCACTCTTGAAATAGAAGGGTGTCGAAACACTTGTAAATGCACTCAGCTCCGAACCAACTTGCACTGAATCGGTTTCTGTCATTCTGTATACTAGATCTTTTTCCTTGCAAGCATTTTTGTAGCATTCAACTGAAACCATGAGTAGAACTCACCACGGACACCAAATGATGATTAAAGGAATGTATCCGCGTCGCAAGAATTTAGAGTATGGCCGCACTGAAATCCAGAAGATATGGTCTCCACATATGATAGATCAGAGGTATGTCTTTTACATGTGTCTGTGTGTGTGTGTACCGAACATAAGTTTAAATGGCATTGTGTATATTTAAGGAACTGCACATCAATCCTACAGTCTGGGCGAACCAAACTTCCAGCTTTTCAGTATTGCTAGCTTGGCAATTAACTTCGAGCCTGAATGTTGTGTGGGTGCCTGCCTGTCATACAACTACACGCATGTCTGCATAGTTTCTACATCACACCTGGTGGCTTCATTCATCTTATCAACATAAGGGGACGATGGTATCTTCCGAGTCCTGGTTTTATGAAACAAGAGTGTCTCTATGTCTTCTCGTTTTGTTCATGAAGCCCATGGTCATATCACTCATTAAACTCAAGTATGGATCCTATTGTCAATCCCATACGATAAACAATCCAGAAGAATTGGGGTTCTCGTAGAGACTTATTCCGACGAGCGCCGCATCAATTGAAACACCAGATATCTAGGACTGGTACCTTGTCACACGGGTGTAGCATATCCGGGTATGACATCTTTTCCATGTCTATTCGTTTGGAGGATATACTGCACAACCCCTCCCCCCCCCGCTCATGTATACACTGTCTGTCATTAAAGTGCTTTCGCCCTTGAAAATCCCTTGAGTTGAATTCGACTGACTGCTCTGCAAAAGTGCGTAAAGCATCCAGATCTGCACGCCAAAAGGCCCCCTTTGAGCTCGAATAATGAACAAGCAAGACTCCTTCGTAAAGATATTCAGGACAAACTTTGCTATCTGGTCTTGCAAAGTCGCAGCATATGCATGGAAACCCAATATACCTTCAACGCAATCCGTCAGAGTCCACAGGCTACACTTTACTGATTCGGAGGGCTTCTAAAGCAATTTTGGTAATTCGTGACCAAACATCTCTATCGACACGGATTCGACGTATACGGTGAGGTTTGCAAACCCGATAAGGGACTCATTTCATTTCATGTGCTCAATTTCCATGGAAAAAATGTCATTTTCAGATATGTTACCCAAAGTTTTGTGAATTCATTTTCTTAGTTATATGACTACATGACTGCGACGATGTCAGCAGACGAATGTGTGAATTTTGAGAAGCGACTTGGGCCAACCGCAACCACACCTCTTACAAGACACACGGAGTGCGAGATTGTTAGCTGCCAATAACATGCCGTATAAGTCCTGCCCCCTATATAGCACACATGGATGGTTGTACACCGCACCATCAACCCCTTGTAAGTAACACACGTACTGCCCAACACAGTTTCCGTATTTGTCGTTGCCTGCATGTATGTGAAGCTTGAGATTAGTTTCTGATGAAGCTATATCTCCTGCCATACCATATGTCATATTTAGAACATAAATGAGCCTGGATCCAAATTAGTAAACTGCTCAGGAATTCAGGTGTCCCTCAGCGCGTGCACCTCGAGCGGAACTAAATTTGGAGGCCAAGGGCTTCCGAGGCTTGTGCCCTCTAGGCCTTCCTGGAAACCTGGAGGGCGGAAGGGGGGGGGGGACAAGAAACAAACAGGGCGGGTCTTTTGTTTGCACCCCCTCTCCGTTCCTCGGAGCCAACAATACTGGATAGAATGAACTACTGCTCGTAATCTTTAATCTGGCTTAATTACTAGTATCACTGAAGCAGTGTAGATAAAAAGGAACAAGTATTTCAATACAGTAGACACGGCATCCAAGAAATCCTTCAAATCCACTGTGTGGAAACACTGGGCCCCACAGCGTCCCTTTCTGTTTCCATCACACTTCCTCTTGAGGCCCAGTGCCCTCTGAGAAGTAGCTGAAAGCAGCTGTCCAATACTTTCTGGCAGATTCTGGCAAGCGACCATGACCCCATTGTTTGCATGATCTGTGAGCAAGAGCCTGATCAAACGCTGATCAGTTGCCCTGTCTGGCAAATTTACTGCAGCAGTAGCAGCGTCCAGGATGCACAGTGTGACCGAGCATTCAGGCAATTCATGTGACACAGGAACGTGTGCCTGGCCACAACACGGCTAGCACGTCAAGGGCAAACCTCTTCCTTCGAATAGGCATACTGGCCTGGCACCAGAAATGCGAACTAGAGTAAGACCAGAGATTAAATTAATAGAAGCGCGGGGGCGGTACGATTGATTTCAGCCGGGCAATGATGCCCGAAGTAGTCCTCGAAAGGCTTGTGCTTGATTGAGGTTTACATTGACAGAACATATGTTTTAGCACAAAACATACGAGAGGTGCGCCTTTGTGTCGCAAGGGCAGACGCGTGGACATTTCAGACGGCATCCATAAAGACGGCATGCGCGTTCTATGTTCGCTTCTTTAGCCAGCCTTGCCCAAGCTCTCGACCTCAAAGAGACAGCCTGATGGAGAGCCGCGCGGGTGGCGCCAGGAGCATCTTTATGTTTGATGTCTTGCTAGTAATTACTCCCCTGAGGCCCAATGTTTATTCCATTGTTTGCCGTCATGCAGGAGACTTCACCAGCTCATCCAAAAGTTGAATGACAAGCCGGTCAGAGATCAGATGCAGATTTGGGCTGAAGACACTTGGCAAGCTGTCTTTGGGAGCTTGCTTTGGCTTTCATTGGCTAGAACTGCGGCTTTGATTAAGTGACTTTGCTAGGAGCCTCCAGTATGCGTGCAAGCGTACAGTTCGAGCTGCGGTTCTTGGGAGTCTCACACAGCGAACTAAATCGAGGAAAGCTCGCAGACGATGCGGAGCTGGAGGAGTCGCTTTGCGGCAACGCTCTGCTGAGCTTTCTGCCGCATGTTTCCATCACTTTTTTCTGCGTTCTTGGGTCGTGAGCTTTGCCCTGTGTGTCCCGTACAGGCAATGCTCAGTTTGCAACTTCGGCGCTGAAAGCCCTCACACGGCAGCACCTCACATCGATTGCCATCTTTACTTTGTCACTCATGACGGACCGAAGTGTTGAGACCAACATTGATCCTTGGAGGAATTATTGTTTGTCCCCCCACCCGCGGAGTGGGGTCGTTAGACTGCAGGGAGCAATTTCCTCGCCCTCTCCTTGCAGAGGACACCTGGAGTGCCCTCCTTGCATCCCGCAGAATTTTAGGTGAAGTGGCGCATCCGTACTATATGCTGCAGTGTATGCCACAATGTTAGTCAGTTGCAAGTAGCCCATAGGCCCATAGAATATCCCAACAGTTAGAGCCTGCAGCGCAGGTGCACTACACCACTGTGGTATCGGCACTGGCGAAAAAATGTTTCTGGGAAGTCGCATTGAGCGTCGTAGAGAGCTTCCCGCCTGGAATCTCAGCAAATTCCTTCACCTTCAACAGCCTGGTCAGTGCTTGTTCCGGTGGCAGCGAATGGGCTAAAGCATTGCATTTATTCGAAGAAATGCGAAATCTTGGAGTCCTGCCTGACAGCATTACAAAAAATGTGGTACTAAGTGCGTGTGAGAAGGGCGCTCAGTGGAGCCTGGCCTTGAGCCAATGCGCTGGACAGTCTGGACAGGTGGACCTGTCTCAAACCACAATCAGATTTAATTCTGCACTGGCAGCACTGCAGGCTTGTCAGAGCTGGAAACTGGCTGTGCTGGGATTTAACTCGATGCGATCGTCTCGTGCTTGCCCAGATGAGTACTCGTGCAGTACCTGCATTAACTCTTGCCAACATTCTTGGCAGTTGGCCGCCAACGGCCTGGAAGCGCTGTTCAGATCAGGATTGTGTCCCAACGATGTTGTTTATGGCGCCACTCTAAACTCATGTGAGAAAAACAGTGCCTGGTCTTTGGCGTTGCAGATGTCGAATGACATTCAGACAAGAAGAAGTCTTTCCAATCAGTACATCTATAATTCTGTCATAAGTGCGGTGGAGAAGGCAGGGCAATGGACATATGCAGTGGAGCTTTTCGACGAGATGCCACGCCACACGGCTCACGATGCGGTCACCTGCACTGTACTGATACGTGCCTGTGGAACAAGGAGTTGGACCTCGGCCCTGGCAGTTTTGCACGGAATGTCTGAACGATCCATCGTCCCAACCGCTGCGACCTACAATGCAGTACTGAAGGCGTGCTCCTCCAATGGCCTGGACACCACCTTGAAAGTTTGGGCCACCATAAGGGGCCTGAATCACCCAGAATTTCCTGATGTGCTGACCTACAACATCATGATAAGCGCCTGCAGCGATGAAGGCCTGGTCGGGAAATGGGGTAGGAGACAAGGCTTCGAATAGATCGCGCAGGTGAGTGCGCGGCTCGGAACTTTGGTGGTTCGCAAAGCCGAAATGAAGGATGTCTTGACAGTTGAGCTAATTGAGCTAGTCAAGCCAAATGATTGCCTGTAGCCGCGTAGCCATTCCCGCTAAGTTCGCAAGGTGCATGGCAGTTCGGCCTTGAGTTCTTGAGCGAGATCGCTTGGCAGGGGTTGACAGCTGATGTTGTTACATTCAACTCAGCTATCAGTGCTTGCGAGAAGCTGGGACACTGGCAGGTTGCTCTGGACCTGGTGACAGAGATGCTCAGCCTCGCCGTGCTTCCTAATGGTGTGACCTTCAGCGCGGCAATCAGTGCTACTGTGCAATCAAGCAAGTGGCAGGAGGCAATGTACTTGTACAGCAGGCTGGTGCAAACAGAGCTGCCTACTGTGATTGCTTGCAATTCCATGTTGGCAGCTCTGGGGTCTTCCAGCCAGTGGCAACGTTCTTTGAAGTTTTTGTGCAGCATGCCCGAGTATGATCTGCAGGCTGACACTATTACATATAGTGAGGTGTTGACAGCCTGCCAAAGAAGTCTGCAATGGCAGCACGTGTTGGAGGTTGTCCAGCTACTGCAAGGCCATTGTGCTTTAGATGCCCAAGTTTGTGCATCGGCCATCGGTGCTTGTGCGTTGAGTGCGCAAGCAGAAGATGCAGTCCGTCTTCTTGAAACTTTGTCTCAGACCGTGTGCCTCTGATCGAAAGTGGATGTTGAGCTTCGCGGCGGCAGGAAGGATTCAGGTCTTGTGGGGTGGCGGCTTGCCAGCTATGGTTTCCTGTGCAAAGAAGCCATCGCATAAGCCAAACAATTTCATCCTCCGAGAATTTGTTGCTGGTAACTGGTATATTCCACTCTATTCCTGCGTGTGCGGGGTGCATGATGCCACACCCCGTCTGTGCGTTTTCTTCTTCTCGATGTAGCTGAGCCGGATCGGAGCCAGCGCCCGACTCCCCCGACTTGCGGATCTGTTGGTGCTAGAGTCGCGGGAACATGAATATCATTAATACGATATTCCACAGAAGTGGCGCCCGTAGCCCTTCTTCTAGCAACTAGATTGTCCGAGACGATCCGAGACGGTTTGCGTTCTGTTATCTGCAGCTCAGTGCTTGGAGTTTCTGCTCGTTCCCTACCAAGCCCAGAAGCAGCCTTGTACTCAACCCTTCTTGGGACGTTGGAAGCGTATAAGGTCCATTTTGTCAGGAACCTCCGCGGCACAATAATGGGCAGTGTAAGGCATGACCCCAGATGTCCCATACCTTTGAATGTGTGCCAGCAGCAGCCCAGCCAATGTGACACCAGTCTCGCTTCTAAGGGCCGCCATTGTGGGGTCTTGTCCCCAAAATCTTTTGAGGCTGTCAGGTATGTGTGATTGGGCCGAAGGTCTGTACGGACAAGAAGAGTGAGCTGTCGATGCAGCAGCTTTTCTGACTGTCATCTGCAATCGAACTGCCATTTCCGGCTGAGGTATCTTAGACACATGTCGAGGCAGTCACATGGTCAGAAAGGGCTCGTCATTGCAAGGTCCGACAGGCCCCGCACCAATATCAGGGCGCCCACCTAATGCAGAACTTACACCACAAGCCTGGCCACACTTGAAGCGCCCGAAGCAAGCCGATCTCTGCCTAACAGCATCGTCCCTTGTAAATTTAACAACGCAGATGATAGTGGCATCATGTGGCATCGACACAGAGCAAAGATTATAATTACATATATATATATATATGTGTAGCTTCTCGTTTCCAAAACCCTACCTGCCTGCTTTCGGCAGACGTTCAGCTGTGGAACTTAGCCCGGCCGATGGCCTGCTCCTCGGAACCCGACCTGACGTGACTTGTATTGGTCCGAAATATCAGATCCATGCGTGCTGCCCCACGCACTTGTGGCATGTTCGAAGTAATTAAGGCCGCAGTGGAGAGGCATGGTCGCGATAGTTTGGTCCTCAGGATTGGAACTCACCATCTCGCATTGCTTGCACTGCAGCAGAACCTTGTTCGTTGTGGAGGTGACCGACCAGGACCGAGCTGGGCTGATGCACAGGCCGCTGCCACTTACAGTAAGTCACTTACGATTCGTAAAGCACAGGTTGTAGTACTTGCTCCGATGTGACTGAAGTACGCCACTCACACAGCATAAGTTGCTGGTTCATGCCACTCGCAGCAGTCTGGTGGGTCCAGCGCGCTGATGATGACTCGTCACCACCAGTCGCCCTCGATGCTCTACGCTGTGCCCGTTTACTTCTGGGTGATGCTGACAGAGCCGCATGATGCACATGTAGACCTAGCTGGGCCTACAGTGCATCTGCTGGATAAGAAGT